TGCTAAAGCGAAAGTCTGACGTCGCCCGTCCCTCTCCCCGCCCTCCTCCCAGGTGCACACCAAACGCTTTCGCGCTAAGGGATTGTGATGTTCGTGTTCAAGGACTAGAACTCCCTCTCGGGACAGGACTTTAGCCAAGTCCTGTGATCTATTGGCGTACCCTACAGTAGAGGGGACGTCAAGCTGTACCAAAATAGGTGCATGTGGTTCTGAAGTTCAGATGGCTTAAATCAATTTTGAAAAAAAGACTGCTACCGAATTATGAAGAGGGCGGCACTGAAGGCCAAGTAGCACCATTCTGGTGTCGACCATATTTCCTTAAGCACAGAGAAACTTCCAAGATTTCCCAGAGACGAATTTTGCACGAAGCCTTCGTGTAGGAAGTGGCGCTCCCAACACTTCCTTCGATTCAACCAGTATTTCAAAACAGTACCCACCGGTGTCATCAATAGACGGACGCGCAACCGATCACATGTATGCAGCTAAAAACATTACAATAAAGAGTGTCGCTATAAAAACATTATAATAGTCATAATAACCATCAACCAACTAAATAATTTCCAATTACCTTGATGCAGAAGTAGTTTTTTATTTTTGTTTTTATTGACATGGCATCCACCAAAACAGGATCTACCTGTTCTGTTATCATCCGATACTGTAGGTAGCTTTGTAGCGCACAACAACACATTTGTTTGCCAACTGAGCTGCTCTTGATGATGATTTAGCTCAATTTCCACCGTTTTCCCTTGGTCTTGGAGGTAGTTTTCTGAACGAATCACAAATATTCCTGAATTTCTACTTTTTAGTGGTCTCGGTGGGTTTCCGAAGGTCGGCCTAGTGGCCGCTGGTCAGTGATCTTTATTGAGCTTTCTACTGGAGCGTAATTGAGCAAATTTCCCATTTAATCCTTTCTAAATAATACTGATGGCAGTTTCTCCCAATTCATCCTCTTATTTTGACACTTCAGTCAGTCCTTACTACACTCGTAGCTATGCTTTCGCTGAGCACAGTAGCAGTATTATTGACAGTCACTGCAGCCTTCGCATTACCGGTTCTATTGGAAGACCATGACGCCGCCAGTATTAGGTAAGTTTGAGATTATGATGCAGACAAAATAGTTTGATATCCATGTTCTAAATTCCTTTTATAGGGCATCACGAACCAGGCGTCAGTTTTTCGCACCGGATGGACAAGGCGGCATCGGTGGTAATAGAAGGAACCCGATGGGTGGTAGGACAAGGCGGTGACGGGAGGTGCGGAGCGAACCACGCGTGGACGAGGTCCGTGGGTGACAGGGTGGAGGCGCTGCAGCTTGGATCGGAAATAATCCTTCAAGCGGTGGACGGAATTCAGGCGGACCTGGCGGATCTCCACAAGGTGGGATGGGCGGGTGGGGTGGTCAGCAGGGAATGGGCGGATGGTGGCAGCCTGGAGGGAGAGGTGGGTGGGGTCCTCAACAGGGAATTGGTGGATGGCGCAGGCCTGGAGTATGGGGTCCCCCACCTCCGAGGTTCTTTGGGTGGGGTCGTTGATGACATACATCCATATGCTATTACCAAGGTCATTCTACAAGACTTTCTTCGAACGCTTGCTATGTTCCATGTTGGATGTCGTCGATCGTAGCTTCAACTCACATTCGCTTTTTAGTGAATACATCTATGTTTATTGTGACAATCTCCAATAAATGCACTGTCGAAGTTTCCCTTGAGGAATAAAACCTAAAAGCATCTCAGAAGAAGAGCAGAGCTTGTAGTAAGAACCCTGAGACGAATTGCCTGATATGCTCTACCCACATTGAGCAATTCGTCGTGAGAGTACCCCCCACGTGTAACGCGGTGTTTCCAATAGGGTGGCTTGTGCGCTTACCTAAAATGGAGTATCAAGTTTGGAAACGACAGCCTGTTCGAAAGAGCGGGCGCCTAGGTGAAATAGTAGACTGGAGTTCTTCGGATTATTCGAATAAACATGAATTGTCTGTTATTCAGTGAGTCTTCTTTCTATGATAAAGTGGTAGAAAAACTGTCAGCGATTACGAGATCTCTCAGCAGAAGAAGATTGCAGTCTCTCACTCAGCCAATGCGGTGAACTGTGTTGTCCTTGTTGTCCTTTTTTGCTTTAAGCCCCCGAGCTTCGAACCGCTTCCTAAGGGTAAGGTAGAAACGCGAGTCATTATGCATAACCATCGAACAATATTCATAAATATTTGAATGATCCTTATTAGTAATTCTCCTCACTCCTTTCTGTCCCATTAGAGTCAAGAGCTCAAGTTACACAGTATAGCACTGACTGCATTTGAAGACAAACTATACACACACTGCCGTGCATCCTGGTCTTGCCAAGTGTTGGGGTATATTGGTCCATAGTAGCTCCAGTAGCTGCTTCCTCTTTACGCGTTGAAAGTGACTGTCGACACGATGAATGGTAGGTGAATTAGAAGCAAAGAAAAACAAACATGGGAAAGGAATACACTCCACAACACAGATGATCCGTTTCGCTCGGTATCGCAGACGAATCATCATTGTCTAGCCAACCCCCGAGCTCATCAGTGCGATAGGTTGAAGACAAGAGGACATAGACTACATAGGGGAAGGTGTGAGAAATAGGACAAAAAAGAGAGAGATTGTAAAAAAAAGGGGGAGGGTAACATGCAAAGTTCATGCATCAAGGATTGGATTTGATGAATTACAGTGGAGCGCTCACCGGACGGTGGGGCGTTCCCTACGACCACGCCGGCGAGCGTCCCGCTGATTGCGTGACGATGGAAAGCCGAGAAATTCCAGGAAATCATCATCATTGCCCCTGCGTCTCTGACACTGACTCTGCGCTCTAACACACCCCGCCGCGCTCACTCTTCCACTCTGATACTCGCGCCGAACGCATGGTTTGCTGACGCTACCAATCAGCTGATTCCTTGCCATAATTTGTTGTTTTCTGCAAATTATTCAGTGGTAAAAGCTGAAATTGTTCTAGTTTCGGTTTCAATTTTAGAGGTGAGTATGTTTACTGGAATAAGATTACATTCTGTATGAATTCAGCATGAAACTCTCTTAAAGAACTTGTTTCTTCTTTCTTTTCGCAATTTTTTTTTTCGTGAATGTCTTCGTTTAACTTCAATGCTACTTACTAAATTCATGCAAAATGAAATCTAGCTTCCTCGAAACATACTCACCCTTGCTTATTGAAGCTGAACGAAGAATAATTTAGCTTTTCGAAGCTGAAAACGGTAGCAATCAGGTTAATTGGCGTATCAGCCATTATCGATCGCGGCGGCGTCGGACGTCGTGGAACGACGACCGCCCACGTGCGAACGAAACTCGACCTGAAACATAATCGAAAATTATACATAATAATGATAAGAGTATATAACACGAATGTGTGCCTGCTATAATTACGTGGGAAGGAAGGAAAAGAGTAAACCGCAAAACCACTGAGAAATTTGAAGTATAGAGGAAGTAATATACAAGAATTGAATCAATTCAAAGTATAGTGGAAGGAAGGGAATTAGTGTTGAGCACTGCTGCAAATGAGTAAACCTGTGACTAGTCTATTTATCTTTCTATAGATTTCGATGATATTTAATTATTAAATTTATTTTATAAATACACTTAACAATGCTAGTAATAATAAAATCTTCCTCGTAGCCATTTTTCAAAAGAGTGGTGACCATATCCGTTATTTTGCTAACGAAAGCGTTGAAGAACGAACAAGTGTTCGCTAACCTCAAAGTTTCCGTATATATAACAGAGGATTTGTTGATAAGAGAGATATTTTGTCCCTATACGGAAATCTGATAACACTGAAGGTAAAATCATCCGTTTTATTATACAGCTTGGTACTAATTTTACCGTTAATGATATTAATTGTTAAATCTAAATAATTACTAGAAACCTCACTCCTATGAGTTTTTTTCAACTGAAGGGTATTTTGATAAACTTGAGAAAGTAGTTCATCCACATCATCATCAGTGGAGCGGTGCTGAATCAACAGCAAATCATCCATATATCTATATGGGATGAACAGCTTAGTTTTATTAAACTTTTTAGATTTAGCATAGTCATATTCCATGACAGAAAGCGTAAGATCTGCTAGTAGTGGACTGAAATTGCCACCTTGTGGGACACCTTTAGTCTGTTTGAACGTATTATTAGCAAAAAGACAAAAGCTGTTACGTAAAAGATAGTCAATAAAGTATACTAAATCGCTGGATTGTAATATCTGTAGTTGTTCTTGAGTTCTTTACCATCTGTATAGAAAACATGGTAACCAGACCAATGTTTACCTAGGGCTCCCCATACGCCCGCGCTGTCGACCACCCCCGCGACAAACCATAGCTAAACGCCCCGCCTGTCTGCGCTCTCTTACTCCTGACAGTGTTTCGTGCGGGACTTTCGGGACGCAAAACGCTTGCACCCTCGTGGACAGCGCGAGCAATGATAGACCGCCCATCGAGACCACTACCTTGCAACCCGCTTCTCTGACTTTTGAGCGGCGGAAACTGGCGCTTCTAGCCGGACCATACCCTGCGACCAAAAATATCAAGAGGTGAGAATAGCGCTCTCGCGGTGAATGTGCAGCCTTCAAGCTAATTTGCATGGGGCAAATATATGAACCTTGACACCCACACCGAATGCTGGACCCTCGTATCTTCAAAGTAGACACCACCGAATGCTGGACCCTCGTATCTTCAGAGTACGTCAAATCATAAGGATCCATGGCGTTTATCGATCAACTTGACTTGTACACTGACTATTTGAGCCCAGCCCCTCCCCTTAAAACTTTATATTCTACTCTATTTTATTCCATCGTCTACGCCAAAACTTAAACGTTCGATCAAAAGATTTCGTCAAAACAGGTATATATTATACAGTCGAGTCCAGTGAAAAACGAATCGCCAGTATAGTAGTGTTGCTAGGGCAGGTGCCTGCCAGTACAAGAGCCTTATTCCTCAAAAACTTCGTAAACAAATAAACTCTTGGGAATGTGTTGGAGAATGAAGACACCATAGTGATATCGCTGCGATAGACCACCATTGTTTTGTTGTTATGATGTATCATTGTTTGTATTATGATATTAAAGCACAATGTGTGGTGAGGTTGTCACTTTTCTCCGAGGATAAACTTCCAACCAAATCCGGTCACTACGTTCACAACAGTGGCGATCAGGAACCAAGCATGGAGGAGCAGCTGGCCGAAGTTCTTCGCCTACTCCAGCGCAGGATGGACAACCAAGACAAGGCACTGGAACTCCTGCAACAGCAACAGAGGGAAACCAACGACTACTTCTTGCGTCAACAGAAAGAAACTGCGGATCATTTTGTGCGTCTCCTGGAAAAGATGGAAGACAGAACGACGACAAGTGGAGTGAGTCCAGCAGCCTTGAAACATACAATTTTCGATTCACTATGTAAGCGCATAGACAGATTCACCTTCGACATTGAGAATAACAGAACTTTTGATCTTTGGTTCAAACGATTCAAAGACGTTTAACGACTGCGGCGAACTGAGAAAAAGAGAAACTCGACTTTTGGTTAGCCGCCTAGATGAAAGTTGTCATCAGCTCTTCTGCGGCTCAATCTCGCCCAGGTCACCGTCGGATCTATCATGGGACGAAGCCGTCTCCACAATGGATCGTTTGTTTGGTGCTGCGAAAACATTGTTTCGTCGAAGATTTGAATGTCTCAAAGTCCAGTACGATAACCAGGATTTCAACAGTTACGAAACCCTTGGTACGCACACAGTGTTCTGACGCAAAATTCGATTCCATCACCTTTGATGGTTTACAATGCCTAATCTATGTGGCTGGGTTCCAAGGAGCCGAATTCGCGGACTACAGAACGCGCCTATTGAGAAAACTGGACCAGGACAACAATATAACGATCAAGGACCTCACTGCTGAGTGTCAGCTCATCAAGTCGTACAAAGAAGACGCGAGAATGCTGGAAAACGCTGCTACTCCTACACCACAATCAACCGTATTGGCAATAAGAAAAGAAGAAAGTTCAAGCCAAAACAGGGTTGGAAGAATAGAGAAACAACGAAAACACTTCATCACGCTTCACAATCTGGAAATATGGAATCAACGTTACCGTCACGCCCCTGGACCAGACGTAACGGTACGAAGAAATACCAGATCAAGGGCATCGAAGACGCCTTACGAAAAGACACCCAACCGTTTCTGGATGTCGAAGTAAGAGGACGTACTCTGAGACTATTACTCGACACTGGCGCTATGATCACACTGATCTCGAAGTCGAGTTGGGAGAAACTCGGAAGGCCACAACTGCAGAGCTATAACACGGTCATCAATGCCGCTAATGGAACAAGAATTCCAACTCATGGACGCGTCATGGTCGACTACGTGTTGAAGAGCTCTGATGGGAAGCAGCATCATGGAAAAGGATACTGCTACGTCACCGAAAATCTAGACATCTTCGGATGGGAGTGGATCCAGAAAATTCAGAACTGGTTGGACCACTACAGAAATATATCAATGGTGTGACGATTCTTGCTGATCCAGCTGCCGCCTGCCGAGAGGAAATTGTCGCCAAACTGAAAGACTGCTACGCCGAAGTATTCAAGACAGGACTTGGCCGATGCACAAAGACTAAGGCGACGCTACAACTGAAACCCGATGCTCACCCTGTCTTCAAAAAGAAGCGTCCCGTGCCATACGCTTATGTCACCGCATTAGATGAGGAGATCGACCGACTACTTTCAGAAGATGTACTTATCCCCCGTCGATTACTCTGCCTGGGCAGCACCTGTCGTTGTTGTCAAGAAATCAAATGGAACATTGCGCCTCTGTGCCGATTTCTCTACAGGACTGAACAATGCCCTGATGCTACATCAACATCCACTGCCCACTCCAGATGACATCTTCACGAAACTAAATGGTGGCACGACATTTACGCAGATTGACTTCGCAGATGCATACCTGCAAATTGAAGTCGACGACGAGGCGAAGGAGTTATTGACCATCAATACGCACAGAGGACTACTCCGCTACAATCGCCTACCGTTTGGCGTTAAATCTGCACCTGGCATCTTCCAACAAATCATCGATTCCATGATTTGTGGACTAAACGGCTGCGCTGCATACCTCGACGACGTCATAGTCACAGGCCGCACCATCGAGGAACACGTTGCCAACCTGGAAGCCCTCTTCAAAAGGATATCCGATTACGGCTTCCGCGTCCGGATCGAAAAATGTAATTTTCTCATGCCTCAACTCCGATACCTAGGAAACATTATCGATTCCACAGGACGAAGACCCGATCCCGCCAAGATCGAAGTGATACGCAAGATGCCACAACCCAAGGACATTGCACAAGTGCGATCGTTCCTTGGAATGCTCAGCTACTACGGACACTTCGTCAGTGAGATGCGACAACTGCGTGCACCGTTGGACGCTCTGCTGAAGAAGGACGTACCGTTCAAATGGTCCACCGAGTGCGAAGAAGCCTTCCAACGCGCCAAGGATGTGCTTGCCTCGGACCTTCTGCTCACCCACTACGATCCAACAAAAGAGATCGTTGTCGCATCGGAGTACGGGATAGGAGCAGTAATCAGTCACCGCCTTCCGGATGGAACGGAAAAAGCTATTCACCATGCCTGCCGTTCCTTGACAGCTGCCGAGAAGAATTACGGTCAAGTCGAGAAAGAGGCTCTCGCGATAACGTTCGCCTTGCGGAAGTTCCACCGCTACATTTACGGACGTCAATTTAAGCTGTTAACAGATCACAAACCACTCCTAGCCATATTCGGAACCAAGAAAGGAGTACCTGTCTACACGGCCAACCGGCTACAACGTTGGGCTCTCATAGTGAAGAACTACGACTTCAACATAGAATACAGATGTACCACTAGTTTTGGACACGCAGACGTTCTATCCCGCCTCATCGCAGAACAATCGACGCCTCAGAAGACCGGCTACAACGTTGGGCTCTCATAGTGAAGAACTACGACTTCAA